CGGCGTGCCCCACCCCCGCCGCTCAGCTGCATCCGGATAAATGCCCGGCTGACGGCCCACGCCGGCGCGTGGACTCCTTTTGGCTCCTCCGGCCCTGCGGGAGGTAAGCGGGCCCCTTTGCTGCCACGGGGGTTTCCTGGCGTCCCCGCTCCACTGGGACACAACCCCCACCCCCGCTCAAGATGCCTTGGGGCGCTCCTATTTTACCTTTCCGGGGTACATCGGGGGAGTTGTCCGCCTCGTTCGTCTGTGGTCCCCTTGCTTCGCCCGAGTTGCTGCTGTTGCACCTAGACAGGAAGTCTGCCACAGTGTTTGATTTCCCTGGCCTGAACTCGATTTGAAACTTGTAGGGCTGTAGGGCCAATGCCCATCGGGTGATCCAGGCATTATCATTCCTGGCAGTGCTTAGCCATCAGAGCGGGGCGTGGTCCAATTAAATAATATCGGAAATGGTCCATGGCCCACCGAATGGCCAAACATTCCCTCTCTATTGTGGCGTACCTCTTTTCTGCCGGCGTCAACTTGCGGCTGGCATATGCTATGGGTCACTCAATTACTTCCTCCTCCTGTGTGAGGACGGCCCCCACTGCTGTTTCAGACATGTCCATCAGTAAAATGAAAGTTTTTCTAAAGTTAGGAGCGTGCATTATCACGTCCTCGCAGAGGGCCTGTTTTAATTTTCTAAAGCATTGTTCCATCTGCTCCGTCCATGTTACCGCCCTGTTCTTCCTCCCCTTCAATGCCTCTGTCAAGGGAGCCGTCAGTTCTGAAAAGTGGGGCACGAACCTCCGGTAATAGTTGGTTAGCCCCAGGAATGATTGGAGCTGATGGCAATTTTGAGGGGCTGGGAAATTTCACACTGTTTCGACTTTGTCGGCCAGCGGTCTGATAGTGCCTCTACCCACCAGGAATCCCAGGTATTTGGTCTCTCTTTTTGCTAAGGCGCATTTCTGCGGGTTTGCTGTAAGCCCGGCCCACCTTAGTTCCGACAATACGGCCCGGAGGGCTTGCTTGTGGTGCGTCCAGGTTGGTGAGTATATGATAATGTCGTCGATGTAGGCCGCCACGTGCTCTGCGTGCGGGGGCAG